AGCTGATTGTAATGAAATGCTTCCTCTAATTAAAAAAATATAAATAAAAAAAAAATGAAAGAAAAAAAATTCTCATAACCACTAAGGAATCTATTTTTAGAAAGATACATTCTTTGTGAAGTATTAATAACAATGACAACTATTTTTGACATTAAGTGATCTTAAATGCTTAGATACCTATTTGTAGGTTACAAAGATTTGAGGATGGTAGAAAAGGGCAGTAATTCTAGCAACTCCAGATGGTTACATTACAATCAGCTTGGATAAAAGATTAGGATAGGATATCACCATTAAAATAAAGCTTATTTTGACTTGATAATGCAGTAAAAGGTCAAAATAAAGTTTATGAGGAAAAAAAAAGCAAGGTGAAAAGTTCAATCCAAATAATGAGTAATATACCAAGAAGATTCTCCTCCTGGCTTATACTTTGTGTCAAAGTAGACTATGTGTCACTGTATCCATTTCCTCTCTTTAGCTATCTGGCTCCTCTCAGAATCTTTGGAAAGGGCAGCACTACCAATCCAGAGATAAGTATAAGCATGCATATTCCCACCCATGTGAGTCTTTCACCTGGCCACCTGCAATGATGTTTGGAAGATTTTTTGGACAGAGGAACATTTGCATGGAAAAGCTGGGTAATGCTAAAGTCTCAGGGGGCTGAAGAAGTCAGAAATACAAGCTCAGTGTCCATCTGCACAGAATTACGAGAATGGAAAAGTCTATGGAGAAAGGATGCTTCCCTAGTCAGGTCTTCACATGATCCAACCTAATTCTAAGTTCTGAAACTTAGATGTCTAAGACTGCCTATTCTATACATAGAATGAAACCTTTTTCTTTGTTTGAGACAGGATGGCATATATCCCAGACTGGCCTCAAACTCCTTATGTAGCCAAGAATGACCTTGATCCTCCTGCTCCCCCAAAGTGCTCAAATTATAACTATGTGCCACCACTCACATTCTATGGGGTGCTTGGGATCAAACCCAAGACTTTGAACACACTAGGCAACAATTCTACCAATGATGCTAAAGAAATCCCCAGTGCAAACCAATCCTTCTTAAACCAGAATGAACCAACTTGTTCTGTCAGCAGTCACCTCTAGGGCAACACCAAGAAGAAAGAAAGTGATAAGAAGACAGCTCAGTGAAGAGTCAAGATGAGAAGTTTGAACATGCCTTTAAAAAAACTCATTGATGTAGGTTTTCTGGAGGGAACTCCTGTTTCAATTTTTTAGAAAAGTATTGAGATAATGTTAATAAAGTCATAACCAGATGTTTCTAAGTAAATAAATTATATATCTATTGGTTTAAAAAACTGCTGGTGGATCTCTGTGCGAACGAAGCCAGCCTAATCTACATAGTGAGTTCCAGGCCAGCTGGGACTACAGGGAGGCCCTGTCTCAAAAACAACAACTACAACCACAACCGTAAACAAAGCTAACCACAGGCTTATGAAAAGCAAGTAAGTTTTACTGGCTTACATTCAAAGCTGTTGGTTTGGTGCTTTCAAAGTCTTGGTTTCCAGCCAATAGTAAGCTTGGAAGCAGAAACATACAGGTACTAGGGCTTTTGTTTTATATAGATTTAGGGAGTTAACGGATTTGTCTTTCAATTATGACTATAGATGACTATTCAATATTGATTTTGGTCAGTCACCATATAAACCCCTCATGGGAAGGTCTATTAGCATCTATAACCTTTAGGAAGAAGCTGTCTGACAATTTTCTGTAAATCCAGGATTTAGGTACATGAAGCTTTCTTCACCAATCCTGAAGAACAGGGGTTCTTTATAAAAAGATTCAGTACTTTTCCCAAGGGAACATTGGGCTTTTTCTTCTATAGTGGACATTGGGTAGAATTTCTTTGTTCTGTTTTTAGTTTACAAAAGCTGTATACTATAGGCTGTCTTGAGTAGGAAATCTAACCATGGGGCAGAAAACGTGGCTATCTGTCATAAGGACAGGGCTGTGATAAAGAATCATGTATTAGCTGAGTATGGTAGCTCACATCTGACATCTCAGCACCCAGGAAGCTGACACTCAAGGCTCACTGGTTCAAGGTCAGCCAAGACTATAAACTGAGACCCTATCTCAAACAACCAATCCCACATATTTTATTTTTTTAAATATTTTGTTATTTTTATTTTACGTGTATATGTGTACTACCTGGATGTAGGTAAGCGCACCTGTGTCGTGCAATGCCTGTAGAGGACAAAAGAGACTGCTGGGTCCCCTGGAACTGGAGTTATGGACAGTTGTTAGCTGCCATGTGGGTGTTGGGATTCAAACCTGGGTCTTCTGCAAGAACAGTCAGTGTTCTTAACCACTGCACTCTCTCTCCAGCCCCCAACCCCACATATTTTCAAACTTCCAAGAACAAAACAAAAATAACCACAAACTAAATGCTGAGCGAGTCTCAGATGAATGTGGTGGGCAAAGCACTGTCAAAGATTCTAATATTAAATGAGGCAAGTAAACATAATTATCATCATCTGTGGAAGAGGCTTTTCAAGAAAAGTTAAGCGGTGGAACAATAAGGGCAAGGGAGCTAGCATTGGGCTAGCAGGATAGGTTCTGATGATGGTCATACAACTGCAAGGGCACACTGAGAACAAGCAAGGACCCAGTTCCATAGCTGGAACTGCCACAATTCCTTAGGAGAAATCAGATATTGTATAGCTATTTCCTCTAAACTGAAACATCAGGCTCAGGAAATAAAGAAAACAAAGTTCAGAAAGCTCCTAAAATTTACAGAAGAATTAATTTCCTCTCTCTCTCTCTCTCTCTCTCTCTCTCTCTCTCTCTCTCTCTCTCTCTCTCCTCGCTCCCCCCTCATGTATTCTAGCTGGGCTAGGATATAGCTGAGGATGATTTTGAACTTCTGATCCTCCTATAGAAAGCAATAACAACTTCTAGGGGACAGGAGACTCACAGGCCAAGCTATGCAGTGAGCTCCAGGGATGCAACTTTTGTGAAGAGTCACCCATGGTCCTGTAAGTAACACCAATAAAATACTGGTTCACCAAGCTGGACTTTGGTAGAATCATTTCTATGGTCTGTTGTTGGTGCCTTATACAGGTAAATGGACATTTGTTCTAATCCCCCCAGGAAAAATCACACAACAGATGTCACTTAAATTGTGCCCTCTCCACTTCAGAGGCATACATTTATAAAAACTGTTATATGACTAAGCTGGCTTTCCTTTTCCCATGAAACTCTTGCCTTTTTTCTTTTCCCATCATACCTTCCCTAGGCAGCCCTAACCTCCATCATACCCTCTCACCTGTCTGACGATGCTCTGGATTAGTTTGTCCATAGTAAAGGCAATGTAGGCATGGATGGTGAACATCTCTCTCAGTGAATCTTCATACTGTGATGAGTCTATGTTGCCATCAAGCAGGCTCCGCACCATGTCCAGGAAAGCTGGGTAATAATCTTCTACATCAACATCCACTATGGGAAAGATGAGATAGGTAAGGCCTTACTCTGCTAAGAAAGAACAAGGACAGAGAGTAGAGAAAATCCCACAGGTGGCATTTGAAAGGACACACACCAAATACTCAAAACATGTCCACTCATCCCACTGCAGGCAGAGATGAAATCTGACAGGTGGTATAGGCACTAGTGTTGTCTATCCAAGTACAAACAAGTTTTTAAAAGAGGCTTCCAACACACCAAAAAATAAATACATAAATAAATAAATAAATAAATAACACTAACTATGTAGAAAGACTTTTTAGCACTGCTGAACTGTGTGAAAGGAGAGCAAAATGTCCTAAGAAAGAGGATCCTTCAAATTGTTGGTTCTCTAACTTACACAAGAGCATTCCTCAAAAGAGTCACTCACTTATAGAGCGATTTCATTCAAGAATCAAGTACAGAGAAGGAAAGCCAGGTACAGCTGGATGTTAGCTGGCACTTGGAAACGTCTTGGGAACAAAAGAATACATGTGCAAATTAAGTCCTTTATGAATAATGAACTAATCCACATTTGTCAATGTCCTTTTGTTTAAAATGGATTTGCAACATTATACTGCACAAATTGCATGAAAGGACCCATACTTGCTGCATATAAATCACTTAAAATACTAGCTGGAATGAATCTTATCAGTAAGGAGACATATGGCATAGGGCATTAAGGAATGCTGTCTCCTTTTCAACTTACCAAATAGCACCCATTTATGTAAAGGTCAAAAACAAATCTCAAACTGGGAATGATGGCACTTGTCTGTATTCCCAGGAAGGTTATGGAAGAATTGCTGAGAGTCTGAGGCCAGCTCGGACTACATAGCAAGTACCAGGAGATTGAGAGTTAGGTAGCAAGAATCTGTATCAAACACCAAAAAATCAATCTCTAGGACTGGAAATCAAGATAGTGGCATGAGGCCACATGATCTTGGTTATATACTATTTCTTGGTCTCTTTCCTGACTAAAGTATGTTCACTATGGAAAAAATTTATAAAATGGTACAATTCTGATTTGTGGGGCAGGGAAAATGGTTCATTGGATAAGAGTACTTGCTACATAAACATGGGGTCCTAAGTTGATATCCCCAGCACTCATGTAAAAACCTGGGCGTAGCTACCTGTAACCCCAGTGCTGTGGGGGTGGGCAGAAAGAGGTGGATTGCTGGGGCTTGCTGACTGCCAGCACAGCTCCAGGTTCAGTGAGAGATCCTGTCTCAGAGAGTGATAGAGGACACCACATGTCCTCCTCTAGCCTCCATATAGACATGCTGCACATCCATTCGCACACACATGTGCACATAAACCAGACATGCACAAAATTCTGACCTTGTAACTTCTTTGCACTTTAAAAAAAAAGTTGATTTAAAAAACTGTAATTATAGAAAGTATTCTTCTTTGACTAACAGCCACCTTTTTCTAAGGGCCACCTATTTTGCAGCCTAAGATCAAAACTGGGTATACCTGATGTGTGACGGAACCCTTACAAACAGGCAAAACAGAACAATTACTGTTTACAATATGCAATAGGCTTGAGTTTCATCACAGAACATCACCATGGAATAGGCATATAGCTTTAAATATGCTACAATAAAGCAAAGTCCAAACCACAGATTTATATCCAGAAGCTACAATCAGGGTGAGGGTTAGTATTATCACTCAACAACAGTCAGTCTAAAACCAGGTTAAAAGTAGTCAAGACCAGTTCTGGGCATTTTATTTGTAATTTCTACCAAAGAAGAAGGAATCACTACACTTAGGCCCTAAGTTTGTTTTCTTCAAGTTAGGACTAATACAGATAAAGGCTTTTCAAAGTATTCTTGGTGTCACTGGATCCTCAACAGATAGAAGCTAGGGTTCATATGGGATTCCTGCCACAATCATCCACTATAAAGTTAAATACCTAACTTATGAACCAAACTCATATCTGGAAGCAGCCAGCACAGAATGGCTTAGAGTATACGGTAGCTTTTTTAATGCTTTCCTTTTCTTGAATTCTTTGTCTTTATTCCTCTGCTATGTGTCTCACACCATCAAGTTTCAATTCCTTTTCTGAAAACACTAGGAATGAGCCATGAAGTGCAATAAAGAGATACATTTGAGAAAACTATTTGGTCTAGGCACAAAGCACTGGGAATTTATGTTATCATGGAATGGAATTAACTGCTATTTTTGTCTCTGTCTTATGAGATACCGGAGAGCTGCCATTTGGGCAACCATTGCTCTATCACTGATATATATGCACAGTGCCAACTACAGACTATGTTTATGGACCAAGCACTGCACAAGGTGTTACACATCTTTTCCCTACATTCCCAAGCAACCCCATAAAGTAAAAACTACCACCTGTTTTCCAGGTTTGTGTACCAGTTCACAGGTTTAAGGTCACACAACCAGTAAGTTGCAGAGGTAGGATATGAACCCTATGTCAAATCTAAAACCCTTAGGCCAATGGCTCTAAACATTAAAGAACGCAGTCCCAAGTCTAACTAGGCCTTGAAGTTGCCAGCCCCATATTATCTCTATAAGACAACCATATAAGCACTCACTAGGTTCTTTGAGACGTAGCTGTATGGCAGGGCTATCACTCTTGTCTCGCTTTATGCCTAGAACCTCCCGTTCCCACTCTCTCTCTCGGTTTTCTTCTTCAATTTGCCGTTCAGCTTGGGAACAAATCCGTAGCAGCCTCAAGCAGAGAATCTGATGCAGTCGCATAAAGATATACCAATTGTTATTAACATAGAAGAGGTTGTATACTTCATCCATCCCTCTTAATTTTTGAGCTGCTGTGTTACTAAACAATAATTTGGATTTAGGGGGGCTGCCCCCAACACCATTGTGCTTCTTAGCCGTTCCTGTGGCTTCATCTACATCCATCTCTTCTTCTTCTTCCTCTTCCACATCTGAGAGATCACCTCTCTGAGCAAACAGGAGATCTGGAATGAAATGGTGCATGATTTGCTTGATTTTATACTTGTCCTCCTTCTGAATGCCTGTCTGTCTCTTCACATGATGGATAATCAGAGCAGCAGCATCTTCTAGTATCTGTTTGTCTTCATAGGCAAGCGAGAGGTGTGGGCCAACGGGTACACCAGCATTCTCTTCTGTAGCCTGCTCTTGCCTCTGATGGAATAGACACAAAAGTACTGTATGACGTGTACAGCAACAACAAACCTAGAAGACTACACCAACAGTACATTTTGTGTATTTAAAAAATATTTATTAGTATTTTATGTGTATAAGTGTACTGTCTGCAAGTATGTTAAGTACACCTATGTTATACAATGCCCATGGAGGTCAGAAGAGGGTGTTAGATGCCCTGGAACTAGAGTTACAAACGGTTGTTAGCTGCCATACAAGTGCTGGAAATTGAACCCTGGGCCTCTGTAAGAGCAGTCAGTGCTAAGCCATCTCTCCAGCCTCCAGCAGTACATTTTATTATCAGCCACGTGGTAGCTGTACACAGTGACAGACACCTAAAGTCCCAGCCCTTGGGAGGCTAAGGCAGGAGGGTTGCAAGTTATAGGCCAGCTTGGGCTTATATAGTGACTGTCTCAAAATACATACATATATATATTATGGTGGCTACCCAATCCAAAATGTAGGAACTGACCTTAATAATAATTATTTTTGTGCCTCCTCCAAATATACACAGGTACTGTGGGCAATGTAGCTTGATACAAAAAGACTAGCATCTTTTAAACACTGAAGATTTATAGAAAAAAAGGGTAAAATAAAAAAAGGAAAGGAAAAAGAAGAAAAAAAAAAAGAAAAGAAAAGAAAAAAGAAAAGCCAGACATGGTGGAGCACACCTTTAGTCCCAGCACTCAGAGGCAGGCAGATCTCTGTGAGTTCAATGCCAGCCTGGTCTATATAGCTAGTTCCAGGCCAGGTGGGGCTACAAGAAGACCCTGTCTCAAAAAGATGAAGGGAGGGGAGGGGAGAAGAGGGAAGGGGAAGGATGGAAGGGTACAGAATTGAAACTGTCATTAAAGTCCTAGATTAGCATTTATGAATGATATAGGGTACAGGTTGTGAGTGGGGCATATCGAGGGTAACAATGGAACGTTGTCCACCAGGGATAATTAAGCATTTTATAAATGTTCATTTACTATTATTTTAACTTCTGGTATTATTTATAATCCTGGTAAATGTACTGAGTACAGGATTATCAACAGTTTAAACTGTGGTAGATGAGATGGTCTCTACAAATACAAGTTACAGTTTTGAGGAAATATGTAGTGGGAGAAGTAGGAGGCAGAAAACGTAAATTGAAACCAGAATGAAAAGTAGGAAACTAGAGGGGAAAAAAAAATCTAAGTATAACAAAGAGACTTAAGTTTAAGACAGTGAATTAGGAATAAAAAGCTACAGTAGAGTTGGGTGTGGTGGTACATGCCCTTAATCCCAGCACTTGGGAGACAGGCAGGTGAATCTCTGTGAGTTCCAGGCCAGCCTGGTCTACATAACAAGTTCCAAGCCAGCTGGGGATACAGAGAGACCTCTGTCTCAAGCCCAAAAACAAAACAAAAGGTACAATAGACTAATTATGAAGCAAGAATCATCAACTCTTGAAGATAATTTCTAAGAATCAAAGCTAGGTTGAACATAAAGACTAGTGAACATAAAGACTAGAGTTCACCCAGATGCAGAGTCACCCAGCTCACCTCATCATAGATACTCTCGATCTCATTGAGTAAGCTCTTAGACCTCAGGACCTTGGTGTCATTCTGTTTAAAGTTGATGCCCTGGTGGTCCAGAGACTTTAAGTAGTACTTTTCATTTTGCTCTCGCCACACCTTGTTGAAGCCTCTCTGTGCTTCTCGCCATTCTTCCTCTTTCATCTTCAACCTAGCAGGGTGGGAAGGGAGATGCAAGTAAGAATATGTGGGGACTGGGGCTGGAGAGATGGCTCAGCAGTTAAGGCTGCTCTTGCAGAGGACCTGGGTTCGATTCCCAGCACCCACATGGCAGTTATCAACTGTCTGTAATTCCAGCCCATGGGGATCCAACGCCCTCTTCTGACCTCTGCAAGAATTGCACGACATCGATGCACTTACACACATGCAAGGCAATACATTCATACACATAAAATAAAAATAATAAAATAAAAAGAGTGTGTGGGAATTTAGAGGGTTAAGAAATGAGAAATATGCCATGCTTATTTCTCAAATCTATGTAAAATGTGTCCAGATTGTTGGTAACTTAAGATAATATTCTTGGTATTATCAATGAGGCTGGTTTTTTGGGGAAGGGGGTAATTTCTGAGAGTCTTGCTGTAAAGCCCTGAATGAACTGACCATGTAGACCAGGCTAGCCTCAAACTTATGGCAATCCTCCTCCCTCTGATTCCCTAGTGTTGGAATCACAGGCATGAGCCTCCACATCTAGTTTCAGTGATTATTCTTGGAAAATTAAGTTCTTCTTGGCCAACTAAAGCAAAATTGAACCTGCATCTTTGATACATGACTCAGAATGTTTACTATACTAATAGAAATGCAAAGTTCAAGAGAAGAGAATTTGAACAACAAAAAAGAACAGAACCATAGCAAGCTCATGGAGCTTGTTAAGACTGAGGTGCAGTCTTAGGTGGAAATGGGGTCCACCTAAGACTGCTGGGAAGGGTTTGTGGGAAGGGTTTCAGTTACTACAGGAGGGGTAGAAAAGGAAGGAACAGGGTACTGCAGAGGCTGAGAAGCCTGATAAGAATGAATCCTAATGATCCAGAAAAGGGAAAATCGCCCCCAAAAAACACTGTAAGAGTAACATACATCTCCAAAAGCCAGAAATTAAATGTCACTGGAAAGAAAAACATCATCATTCTGTATCAGTTTTTAAGGAGACCACTAAGAAGGAAAAAGGCATTTGTGAATAGGCATTGCACAGCAAGGAAGAATTCCCATCAGGTGATACTAAAAAGGGGACTCGACCCTTAGCAAAGATATGCACAGACAAAAGGGGCCACAGACTGAAGGGACAATGGGGTTCAGACTCCCTGTCACCTGATTGATGTCTGGATTTAGGTAGTTACAAAAATCCTTTTACACCTACGTCTAACATCAAGGCTAAATGAAGATACCTAAAATATGGCAAGCAAAGGCGTTTGTTACAAAAGATGTATATAAGTATAAACCACAAAGAGTGGCTTTTCTTATCAAAACCTAAAGAAAGATGGTAACAAAAATTAGTAGTACTAAATGACATATATATTTGGTTTTCTTTGTTCTTTTCTGTATTTTAAAGCACCCTCTCTTCTAAGCAGTGCACAGCAGCAAGAGCTTCTAGTCCCAGACACTGAGGAAGCAGAGACAGAAGGATTGCTTGATCCAGGATTCTGAGGCCTTTTGGCCAACATACCAATACACAATCACCTTAAAGCAATTGATTAATTAAAAACTAAAAACACCAAGCCCATCATAATGGCAAACACTTGTAATCCCAGCACCTGGGAAGAGGCAGGCAGATTAGGAATTAGAAGTCATCCTCAGCTACAAACCTTGTCGAAAACAAAGCAAAATCAAGAACTCTAAAATAAGACCTATAGGGGCTGGAGACATGGCTTAGCAGTTAAGAACACTGGTTGTTCTTGCAGAAGACCCGGGTTCAAATCCCAGCATCACATGGCAGCTAACAACTGTCCTAACTCCAGTCCCAGGGGATCCAACAGCCTCTTCTGACCTCCACAGGCATTGCACGACTGGGGTGCACTTACCTACATGCAGACAAAACATGCACACACATAAAAAAAATAATTTTTTTAAAGTAAAAAAAAAAAAAAAGACCTATAAAGCAGAATGTGGTGGCACGTGCTTATAATCCTAATACTTGGCAGAAAGCAAGAAGATCAGAAGTTCAAGGTCATCTTCAGTCAAGAGCAAGTTCCAGGCCAGACCTGGGATATGTGAAGACCCTGCTTTAAAGAAAGACTAGGGGGAGGGGAGGGGAAGGGAGAGGGGAGGGAAGGGAGGGAAGGAAGAGACGGAGGGAGCAGACCTTCTTATAGGGTGGGATGAGGATCCAACTCATGGTAAAGGACTTGCCTAACATGCTACACAAATGGTCTTAGGTTCAATCCCCTCTCTGAAAAGAAACAAACAAACAAACAAAAACCAACCTTCAAACATAAACACAAAGCACTCCAACATAAAACTCATACTCACTTTCCTCTCTGCAGCACAGGTATCTAAGTCAAGTTCTTATGCATGTTGGGCAAGTACTCTATCACTGAGCTACACTTCTAGTCCTTTAATAAAAATCTCTCAGGCTTTATTCTGTTACAACAAAACCAAAATAAGTTCTACCATTTTACTCTGTACTTGATTTCTAACTACACCAAGATGAGAGAATGGGAATGCTTATTTGCCCAGATACCTTTTAAGAACAATGGGGACAGCAATGGAGGGGTTCTTCCTCAGACCATCGATGATATCAGCTGCTTTATCAGCATATATCCTCTGGAGTGCTTTTCGATGAATGACTTCTGATGTGCCCCCAAGGGTGTTATCCAAGCGAAATTTGGCTTGTTCCTCAGCAGATAAGCGAGAAAGTTTTTTCTGTATTGCTTCCAGAACCCGGATTGTTGCAAGATTGGTCTCTAAAACTACATCAAGCTAAAAAAGCCAAAAAAAGGTGGTCAGGACCCAAACCAAAATAAAGCAACATTGGAAGTCTAAGGAGGGAGTCAAATTTCTTAGGATTTGAGTACTTATTCTGACATACCAGCCACGTAAGCCTCCTTACTATCATTAAATGTGAACAGCAGCACCTATAACTTAACACTACTTTTATAAGGCTGTTTTCAGGAACAAATGATGCCACACAGGAAAGTCATTAAGTACAATATGCAGGGCACATAGATTAATAGTTATCACTCTGATCATGACCCATAGCATGCTGAACCTAAGCCAGAGAGACCTCAAAGGCTATTTCACTGATACTTTTCTTTACACTTTGTTTTGATATTATTTTTGACATTTAAAAAATTTATTAGTATTATTTTCTTTAAAAAAATATTAAATTAAAAATCTTAGTATAGGCTAGAGAATTAGGAAAGGGAACATGGACAAATTTCACATTATTGTTGAAGCTTGGTAGTAGTTTTGTCAGTAAATAATATTTTTTAAAAATTATAGTAGATGTATAGAAATGTGAATTTTGACACAGGTCCTTACTACACTGCCCTGGCAGACCTGGAATTATCTATGTAGACCAGACTGGCCTTGAACTTGTGGTAATCCTCTGCTCCTAAATGCTGGAATTATAAGTGTGAGCCATCACACCTAACCCATGAACTTTTCTTAAATGTGAAAACCTGTTACAAATAGTAACAAAACAATCCCGAAAGACCACTCAATCAGTGGTAACAGTTTTTTCTGGCATAACTTGAAACAAATATGCCTAAAATATTTAAATATTAAGTTACTGTTTCACATCTAGTGGTAATAAACTCAGTGATTACCCATACTTTCTTTCCTTGCTTCTGAGACAGGGTCTCCTGTAGCCCAGGCTGGCCTCAAACTGGCTATGTAGCTGAGGATGCATTTGAACTCCTGAATCCTCCTACTATATTAGTGACCACAGGCAATGTACCACTGTATTCAGCTAGTAATATGTTCTTTAGCTTGATTAAAAACTTTAATGCTGGACTGGAGAAATGGCTCAGTGGTTAAGAGCACTGGCTGCTCTTACAGAAGACCTGGGTTCAAGTCTCAGCACCTACATGGCAGCTAACAACTATCCATATACACTGATAACTCATTAAAAATAATTCTTTAGTCCCAGCACTGGGAAAGCAAAAACAGGAGGATCTCTGAGTTCAAGACAAGCCTGGTCTACACAAATGAGGTATAAATCAAGCCAGAATTACATAGTGAGGCCCTATTCAAGAAACAAAATTAAAAACCCTCCCTGTGGAATTTAACACCTATCCTGATTTAGTTTTCTGTAAATGGTTGAAAAAGCTCATAAACGCCAAGAGCAAAAAACATTATCCACCAGCCAGTAGATAGGCACCAGGTGATTAATTCAAAACAGAAAATAGCTAAAGTAACCGGAAGAAGGAAAACTGGCAGAAAGCTAAATCAGCATAAACAAGATGTTTCTCACAGATTTTAAAAAGCAGTACCAGTAATTTTAATATAATACACTAAATCAGATACATGTAAATAGAATTCACTAATTCACCATCAAAAAGGGAGGTTAAATGAATTTTATCTAAACAACGAAAATTTTGGCCTAGTGTCAGAATTCTTGAGGACTACAGAGGATCTCTACCAGTCACTCATTCCAGGTCTTCCCATACCTAACCTACCAATTATAGGCATGTACTATCAGGCTCTACTCTTGACCTTTCTTAAAAAGCTAACACTCATATACAGTATTTAAGATCGTCCCATTTTCTCAAAATGACAAAGGAGGTTATACCTCAAATCGTTCATCTTCACAACGATAAATATGTTCTTCATACTGAGTCTTCTTGGAACTAACAAAGGTGGAGTCTTCAGACCATGATGGGAAGGAAACCCAAGTATCATTTAAAACCTTTGGGTAGAAAAAGAAGCAGTTGAAAGGCCTGTAGAAGGTTTATGGTGATTAAACATTCTAGTAAAAAGCTAAAACTCAAAAGGGGGAAGAAAACAGCTAGCAATATTCCATATACCTTACCTTTAGTGAGTTTACAAAAGGATAGTAAAGAAAGATTGTAATTTCACCATTCATAAAAATTCTTTCTGGTCTTTCCTACAGTAACAGCACTTGTCATCAAGCCGTAACAACCAGAGTTCAATCCTTAGAACTCACATAAAAGGAAAGGAATGACTCCCACAAATTGTCCACTGACCTCTATAAGCATGCCAAGGCATATGTGCGTATACATTTAAAAAAAAAAAAAAAATCCTATTGAGCCAAGGGTGATCCTTACCTCTTTACAGAGAGGAGTCCGTCCTGTACACTTAGGCTGCTGGTAACTTTTTGGTAGGGCTCTGTAACTGGAGCCCAGCCGTTTACAAGAGGCATAATCTATCTCCATGGCAATGCCCTCTGTAGCTCGTTCCTTTGGAAAGGTTTCCAAATGTACAGACTCCTTATAGCCCAGAAAGTTTTTAAACCAATTAAACAATTCAGGGAATTTCCTAAAGGACCAAACCAAAAACTGGTTAAGCGGTTAATTACACCTCATAATAACTGCATTCTGCCTCTATCACCATTCATGGTTGGGTTAAAACTCAGCTAACAGGAACAAATTTCAGTAACAATTATTTCCCATCTAAGAAGAATTGAGTCTAACCATTTAGATAGACGCCTTTTTCCTTACAGATTTTCTCCAATTAGTTAAGGGGGAATGGAACAGTTAAACTGAAACTAGGCAATAAGTCATTCTCTGGATCAAGAATATTGCTTTAGGATTCACATTCTTAGGATGTCAAATGTTATCAAAATTCTAAATATTTTCGGTTTTTAAAAAGTGTTATTTTATTTTACGTGCATGAGAGTATTGTCTGCATGAATATAAGTGCACCGGTGTCATGTAATGCCCGAGGAGGTCAGAAGAGGGTGTTGGATGCCCTGGAACTAGAGTTAGGAATGATTGCTAGCCGCCAGGTAGGTCCTGGGAATCGAACCGATCAGCCAGTGCCTCTTAACTGCTAAACCATCTCTCCAGCATACCCCTCCTCCTGAAATCAAGATTCTAAAGCTTGCCAGGCAAGCATGCCTTTGATCCCAGTAGTTGGGAGGCAGAGGAAGGCAGATCTCTGTGGATTCAAAGCCAGCCTGGACTACATAGCAAGTTTCAGGCCAGTCAGTGCTACAGTGAAACCTCCTCTCAAAACCCCAAAAGATTCTTAAGCTCTGAGAGATTTGTCTCTATAAACATTTAGCACTGGTCAGACAATCAAGAGACCATTAGTACTGTCAATCAGTTAACTGATACTTCAGTGAACATGCCATTTTCTCATCTTAAAAGTTAAACTGGAAGACTTCCTAGGGCTCTTTTGACACTGACATTTGAGACAATTGACTTAACTCAGTTGACTTTGCCTAGCACATACTCTCAACAAATCAATTACCACCTCATCTCCATATCAGAAGTACCAGGGGATAAACTCCTTACTTCACTTACCCCAGAAAAGGAGAGACTAGCTGTACAAGCTCGGCCCGAGAGATCACTTCCTGGTTAAAGATAACAAGACAGCGCAGGAAGTTTTCATAGGCCTCTGCACTTCGCAGAGCCTTTCGGACCTTATGGAAACAACCAGAAGAAAAACAGTTACAAGGGAAATCAAGATCTTAGATTAATTTTTTTTTAAACTGGGTAAATTTGAACTGATATTTGCTGGACTAAAGAAATCACTGTTACTTTGTTTGAATGCCATCAAAGAAATCAACTTTAAAACAATAAAGTACTTGTGGATAAAATATTATGGTACCTATGCTGGACGTAGTGGCACATGCCATCAGTCCCAGCACTTGAGAGGCAGAGGCAGGTGGATCTCTGAGTTCAAGGCTAGCCTGGTCCCCACAGTGAGTTCCGGGCCAGCTGGGGCTGCACAGAGACCCTGTCTCAAAAAGACCAAAAAAATAGAACAGAAAATATTATGGTACCCATAATCTGTCTCCACACACTCTAAATGGGTAAGAATAGACATGAACAAGTAAATTACATTGATCAAGCACTAGCAACTGAAGCTGATGACAGGCACATGCACAAAACAAAAGGTGGAGAATTGAAGAAGAAATCCAGCATCAACCTCTGACCTCCACACATACACATACGCACAGGCGCACATGGATGTGACACAAATACACACACACACACACACACACACACACACACACACACACACGCCCGCACGCACGCAAAACCAAAACAAAGGGCCAGAGAAATGGCTACGTTGATAAAAGTGCTCACAATGCAAGAACACTTGAGAACCAGAATTTAGATCTCCAGAACCCACATAAAGCCAGATACAGGAATGTGCATATCTAACTCCAGCACATCCATATGAGATGAGAGGCAGAGATAGAATCTGTGCAAGTTTCAGAGCCAGCTAGCCTGGAGTATGCAGTGGTGATCAAAAAGAGACCTAGCCTCAAACAGGGTGGAAACTGAGGGCTGACATGCGTCCTCTGACCTCCACACCTGCATATAACCAGCCCCCTCTCTCCCACTACTCCCACCTCCCCCTACTCTCTCATACAAATGAAAAATTTTAAAAAGATACTTCTGCCTTCTGATCATCAGGCTATTCTACTTATAGCATTGAACACTTCCACATTTTAATGTCTCAAAACTTTAATGGCATACAGAAAGTAAGACTACTGAATTAGGTGACAAATCTGGAGGTTTGATTAAAAAAGCAAATGATTAGCACTGTAGTCCTTCAGGCCCAGTGGTTTATCAACAAGCCTAGCTTTACATTTTCAGATTTTTCTGTCAGTAGCCATAACATAGCATAGACATCAGAATCTGTTGAGGCAGAATCCCTTGATGTGGAGGGCCGTATTTTTTTTTAATTAATTAATTTTTTGAGGCAGATTTCACTGTATAGCCCAGGTTGGCCTGGAACTTGCAGCAATCCTCCTGCCTCTGTCTCTCAAGTGCTAAGATTAACAAGTGTGCACCACTCTACCCACGGTCTGGAATAAAGTAATTCTTTAGCAAGAGAGTTTCTGAAGGCACAGAGACAGAAAGATCTAAAAGTATCAGTAATGGAGTAATAAGTAACTTTTTTTCTACAAAGATCTGAGGTGCAAGATAGGTAAGCTACCACCAGATCAATCCAGGCTGGTTCCTGTAATAAGCCTACCAACTACATTGATGGAAATTGCTTGTGGGTTTTATTTTGGGGGAAGAGGTATTTGTTTTTATTTTATGTGTATGAGTGTTTTGCCTGCATGTATGCAAGTGTATACAATGCCTGTAGAGGATGGAAGAAGAGGGCATTGGATTCCTTGAATTGGAGTTAGGGATAGTTGTGAGGAACCACATAGGTACTGAAAACCAAACCGTGGTCCTCTCCAAGAGCAGCCAATGCTCTTAACCAAATGAACTCTCCAACCCTGACAAAAGCTGTGTTGATCATCAAGTTGATTCCAAGGAAGTAGAGTCAAAAGAAGATACTACACAAAATTGTGTGCAGCGGTAATTTTGACTCCAAATGTTCCTTAGAAACACCGTTGGATCTTTTGAAAATATGCCATTAGTATTCTCAAGCTGGGCATGACAGTGCATGCTTGTAAACTCAGCACTTGGTAGGTGGAAGCAGGAGGATCAGTTAAAGGTTATTCTTGGCTTCATAGCCATGTTTGAGGACAGTATGGGCAACACAAGACCATTTCATCAACTATTTACATATTGCAAATAAAGCATCAGAGCAACTAGATAATAAGTCATCTTAAGCACAGTAGCTCAGTAGCAGGTAACATGCTTAGCATGTGTGTCGTCCTGAGTTCATAGTATCACCAAAAAAAAAAAAAAAAAAAAAGAGAGAGAAAAAAAAGAAAAAGAAACTAATGTAGGTGAGATAGGCGCTTAGGAGGCCACGGCAGAAGGATCAAGAGCTAAGGGCCAGCCTGGGCTTCATAATGAGGTCAAGACCATCCTGGGCTACAGACCAAGTAAGATGATGCCTCAAAACAAAAACAAGAAAAGGTTAAAACAATAACTACCTCAGGAAATCCTAATAAGAGAAAAAAAACCTTAGGGATTAGATGATTTTCTTTTGTTCTTAATAGTATCGAATCTTATTCACTACTTACCTTATCAAAAAATAATGACTCAGTTCCAACACCATGCTTGCTGGCATCTGCCATAGAAGATTCCTTTAGACTAAGCAGTTTAGGTTTCTTCTGCAAAAAAGAAAAAAGACAAATATATAACTCAAAGAGTGGATTTCTTTGAATTTTGATAAAATAGTTCCACCACTGACTGCTAATTAATAACTGGGAACTTACACTTACCAAAACATTTTTACTCACTGATACTTATTATATTTATTTACACTTACTATAACATACACCCCCAACCATTTTAGTTTGTCCAACAGCTTCTTTCTTCAAAGGTTCACAGATTATTCTTTTCCTGGTAATGTTCTCTCTAGTGTATTACAATGACCAATGTTTAGAATTAATGTCTTTCCATTTTCCAGATGCAAATGCAACTTTTTAAGGCTCTGTCCCAGTCTTCTGCTTTCTGTTAATATAATAAACATCATGCAAAAAAGCAACTGGAGCAGAAACCATGGAAGACTGTCAGTGGCTTGTTCAGCAATCAATCTTTGTTTCAAATATGTTTTATTATTAATTTTGTGTGTGTGTGTATAAGTATATTGCCTGCATGTATGTAAGAGGGCAACAGATTTCCCTGAATTGGAGTTACCAACAATTGTTAGCATATAGGTGCTGGGAATTGAACCTGGGATCTCTGCAAGAGCAGCCAGTGCTCTTAACTGCTGAGCCATCTCTCCAACCCCTCAGCTACCTTTCTTATACAGCCCAAGTCCACTTTCCCAAAGATAGCACTGCCAAGAGTGGGTTGGGCTGTCCTACATCAATTAGAAATCATGAAAATGCCCCACAGGCCAATTTGATGGAGCAAATTTCTCAATTAAGGTTCCATCTTCCCAGGTGCCTGTAGTTTCTGTCAAGTTAACAAAAATTAACCCGCAGAGGGAGAAGAGGCTGTTTGTAAAATGGGTAGCTATATACTGCTTAAACAGAAATAAATCTTTAGCCTGTTACTATTTCACTATAAAAATTTGTAATACAGGGGCTGGAGAGATGGCTCAGCAGTTAAGAACACTGACTGTTCTTGCAGAAGACTCGGGTTCGAATCCCAGCACCCACATGGCAGCTGACAACTGTCCATAACTCAAGTTCCAGGGGATCCGGCAGCCTCTTCTGTCCTCCACGGGCATTGCAGGACACAGGTGCACTTTACATGCAGGAAATACATGCATGTACATAAAATAAAAACATCTAAAAAAAAAAAAAATTGAGCTGGGTGTGGTGGCACACACCTTTAATCCCAGCACTTGGGAGGCAGAGGCAGGCAGATCTCTGTGAGTTCGAGGCCAGCCTGGTGTATACAGTAAGTTCCAAGCCAGCTGGGGCTACAGGGAGACCCTGTCTCAAAAAGACC